GCCTCGAACGGAAATACTTCCGGCTCGCCGTACGGCGAGATGAGACAGCAAAGAGTTAAAGTACTTTTTAAAAAGTACTTAAGTACAAATTTAAGTACAATCTAAAAAATGTACTTAAGTACAGTAAAAGTACTTTCCTGTAAAATGTACTTGAGTACAAGTACTTTTTAAAAAAAGTACTCATGAGTACATTTTGAGTACTTTCTGCTAATAATATGCTAAAACACTTCTATGCCAATGCAAAACGTCATATATCGAATAACCTCCAGTATTTGTCAAATTTGACAAATTTTGAAAGTTGAAAACCTTAAAATCTAACTACCAAAAGTCCTTATTGTACTTCACCAAGAGGAGATTCTCAAAATTCCTGTTACTGAGTGAAGATCTCTTGGGCACAAAAATGAGCCCCCCCCCCAGCGAGAACAGCCTCTCTACTGGTGCTGATGATGGGAGGATGCTGTTTAACTGGCGGAAAAGGGTCTTCACATCCGGAAAAGCTTCCGGACAGCCGAGGGAGATGTCTTTAGCTGCCAATCAGGTATTCGGGTTCCTCGGCTCCACCGAAGACGGAAAAGAGGCCATCGTCAACCACCTCCTCCTCACGGCCTGACTCCTTTTCAAAATTGGAGAGTTCGTCTGTGAACAGCTGCTTGGCTCTCTCCTTTGCTGCCAGGTCGTTTTGAAGAAATGAGAGCTTGAATCTATAGTAAGAGAGAGAAATGAAAAACAGACACCCTTTTTTCATTAGAAATCATACCGTAATTGAAAAATGATCAATATGCATTACAACCGAGCAAAAAGACATTAAATGATTACAAGACATTGAGAATACATGTACATAATCAACGCACTATACTATATGGTGGCTGTAACTTTTGAAGACTAAATGTTAATTTCAATTAATTTTTTTTTAACCTTTTCCCATTTATATTATGCACACTTTGTAACTGTTACAGATAGAGATTCAAGGATTATAGATGTAAGTCTAGGTTCTGAGAGAAAGAGAGAGGTGTTCATTTCTAGCTAACCAGCCCACCTACCTTTTAATGTGAACCCAAATGTTTAATATGCATTACTTTTTGGCAAACTCTCATAAATAATTAACTTACTTGGGATGCACAACTGCAGCCAAGACACAGGTCTTGTCGCCGAACATAGGGCAATAGGCCTGAACCTTTTATCCAGTCCTGTCAGGAGTTCAAGGCAAACAGTCCTGCAGCGTCCTGCACTGTCCAGAATGGATGTCAGTTTTAACTTCAATGCCACCAGGGTGGGCAGAAGGTGCCCCAGGGTGGTCTCCTTCTCTCCCTGAAGCAGATCCAGCGCAAAAGAAAAAGGTTTCATCACCTTGGAAAAGTCTAACGAGATAACAAAAATTAGTAAAGAAAATCTATAATAAATAAATGAGTTTAAAAAAGAAGTAGGAATTTTGATCATTGCCAAAATCTTACTGACTTACTATTTCCTAGCACAAGCACTAGCTAACCCAAACACATAGAAAATCACCAAAAGAGACAGGATTACAAAACAACAAATAGTAAACAAAGAAAATAAAAATAGTTTTAACCCCTTCACTGCTGACCTATATGCCCCGCCCTGTGCTGACCTTATTTCCAGGAATAGCACTTCAAACTGATGACCCTTTCAAAGTGCTATTTACTCTGTGGTAATGCATCAAATGCATAACAATGTATATATTATTTTAAAGGAAAATGAATGAGCTTTTCAGTCATGCCAAAGACAAAACACAATATGAAAGAATAAAAAAGTTAAGAATGATGAAAGACAAGAGATAGAAAAAACAACAAAAATAATTAAGATTTTCTTACCTGACTTCTACGATGTGGAGACTTGATATAGGTAATCCAGGGCATAATCCAAGCCAGAAAACACAGACACATGTGGCACATATATTCCAATAGAAAAAAAAAGAACACATCACAGGTATTTGCACTATGTACACTTATTTACAGAGGGTGCCAGCAGATCACTGACGCCAGAAGAAACGCTCGGTGTGGTACTTTTTATAGCACCCTACCAAGCACAGGCGTGGTTTGCTTGGGCAGTCGGGACAATAATAGCGAGTGTCGCTTCGCGGGCCCTTCCGTGCACACACACGGCACTTCTTCTGTGGCGTTGCTTTCTTTTCTGTCGCTGGCAAAACCTCAACGAAGTGCCGACCGTAGAGTCTTACGCTGTGGTCATCCTCCACAGCATCTGCGGGATTGCCGTCACCGAAGATGAGGCCTGATATGACAACTTTCTGAAATGAAAGGAAGGTGCTTTCGTTGCCAGCCTTCTGATACAGGATGAAGGCATTCAGATGCCCAATTTGTATGAAGCTGATACAGAGCTTCTTGTACCATTTCAGACTCTTCCGTGTTGCATCATAAGGCTGCAACATCTGATCGTGGCGATCAACTGCTGCCATTTTTTTTATTGTTTTCCACAATCGCTGGAGGCTTCTCTCCAGTGCCCTGTGGTGGATGACAAGTTGTCAGCATGTAGACGTCTCGCTTGTCTACAAACTTTTGGGGATTTGGAGCTGCCGAAGAAATCTTGAGTTGTGATGAAATGCGATAAATTTATAGCCAACGAACATTTCCCTGAAAAAACAACAACAAGCGAACAAAAAACACACGTAAGACATTAAAGGTTTCCTTAACCTTACAGAAATCTTTGACGTAGGTCAATTCTTCTTCACTAAAGTGGGTTCCCCCAAGTCTGTCCATCAGAACATTTAGGGATTCCTTCACCTTTCGTAAGCAGTCCATTGCATCAAACGAGCTGTTCCATCTTGTGGCATTTGGAACAATCAAATACCTTCCCAGAACTGAATAGATTGTCTCTAGGTAAAAGTGAGAACAAAAGGAAATGAGTGGGAGTTGGCAGCGGATAGTGAAAAAAAAAAGGTCCTGCTGATAAAAAAATGATAGATTCTAGTTTACTTTTGTTTGCTTACCTCCAAACACTTGACAATTGTGGCTCTAGTAGTAGTAGTATAAGGTTTTACGGCGCTCGCAACTGCTAAGGTCATATGAGCGCGCGAAACACAAGTTGTTCGCCTCTGCGAAAGTTCACTTCACGGCTGGTAACTAATTTACTTTAAAATGCTAAAAAGTTAAAATATTCAAATTCGGTGTAAATACATTTGTGATCTAAAACAACTTTTAAGTAACAATAAAAATTTTTAATAATATCAGATTCACTTTACAACTCGCCATAAAGGCCAATGGCCTTTATAAAATTTAAAATTCTGCTGGGAACAACGACGGAGAAAATATCCTGCAATTTCTTGCATTTATAATATTTCCTTAGGATCTCTCCAAAGTCTAGACATTCTGTTAAAATGTGTCTAATGGTAAAATCTGTGTCGCATCCGACACAGAACGGCTTCTCCTCTCCCTGTAGGAGGTATTTGTGGGTCAGGGCCGTGTGTCCGATGCGCAATCGAGTAAAAATGACTTCGTCTCTTCTGGAGAGATCCGAAGGATTTCGCTGTTCTAGTCTGGGTTTAATTTCATGTAATTTATTATTTTTCTGGTTTTCCCAGTGGCTCTCCCACAGACTGGAGGTGTACTTTTTGACTTTATTTCTAAAGCCAGTCTGTGGGAGAGTGTTTGTCGTTGATCCCAGCAGAAGGGATAAAGCTTTCTTTGCCAGGTCGTCTACCTGCTCGTTTCCTCGGATGCCCACATGGCTGGGTATCCATGCGAACATGATGTTTTTTCCTGTTTCGGATAGTGTATGGATTTTCTGTTGTAGCCTAACTATTTTTGGGTGTAGGAGTGTGTAGTTTGTGAGTGAAGTGATGCAAGACAGAGAGTCAGAAAGGATAAGGAAAGATTTGTTAGGGGAATTTTCTACAGAGTCCTTTCACTGAGCTTCAAAAGTACTTGAAATATACTTTAAAAGTACAGTAAAAGCTCAAAATGTACCAGAGTACAGTAAAAGTACGAAGATTGTAACGTAAGTCTGTTACTACCAGCTCTGGACATAAGGGTATTGACCTCGAAAGGCGAATTTTTGTCATTGTTGAGTCTTGGTGAAGAGTAAACCTCTGACGATTTATAACCACACCCCCTGTTCTTGCTCGTCAGACGCATGGGTGCAGAGAAACCATTTATCTGTCCCTCTCCCCCGACGAGAGATATCTGCTCATCCAGCCCACAGACTGGGCACACCACCTCGGCAAGCAGTTTGTTAATTTGTTGGAACTCTGCAAGGGTCCATGTGTGGGATGACTCCCAAGGTGTTGACACAGACGTAAAACAGCCTTGCATTTTGCTCAGCTTCTCCTTTGATGTAACTCGAGGGGGGAGGGACCGGGGGGGGGGGGGGGGGGGGTACAGCTTCAGTGCTGGGAAAACAAGAGGAAATAAGGTTCTAAGTACCGGTATTATTTATTCCATCCAAATTAGTACTCTATTCTCTACGCCAGGTCGGCCCACAGGGTTGTAACTGAGCTGCTGGTCGAACTTGTCCACCCCCACCCATAAACTTGTTGTAGTCGATGAGTGGAAGCAGACAATAGATGAACAGGCCTCTTGTCGTGGAAGCTCGTGGCGACAAGGTTCCCTTGCTGAAGCTGTTGCTCATCGCCCTTCTTAATATCTTTAGTTTTTTCTTCATAGCCTGCTGGAGGCCTTTTCGGTTTTCCATGACAGTGCCACAACAGTAAGTGTCGTGTGACAACAGATGCTAGGCTATTTCCACACCATTGATAAAACGGTCGAAGTAGACATGATGACCTTTCCCATAGTGGGGTTGACACAAAT